TGAACAGGGTGTGTGTTTTAAGGGACAGATGAGCCATTGCTGCAATAGAAAAGAAAGTTGGCGAGAGGACACAGTACCCACAAAGGAAGAGTGGCAGATGAAGTTGATGGAATATGCTGAACTAGCAAGTTTGACTGGTAAAATGGGAGAGCAAGATGAGTTAGTTTTTAAGCAGGACTGGAAATTGTTTGTGGATTATTTAAAGAAGTACAGTGGTACCTCGGGTTACGTTCGCTTCAGGTTACATACGCTTCAGGTTACAGACTCCGCTAACCCAGAAATAGTGCTTCAGGTTAAGAACTTTGCTTCAGGATGAGAACAGAAAATGTGCTCTGGCAGTGCGGCAGCAGCAGGAGGCCCCATTAGCTAAAGTGGTGCTTCAGGTTAAGAACAGTTTCAGGTTAAGTACGGACCTCCGGAACGAATTCAGTACTTAACCCGAGGTACTACTGTACTGCAAACATGTAAAACACTAGCAGGATTGGAATACAGGCAGCAGTAAATGAGTTACTGGGGGAAATACAGAAGAAAGAAGGCATAGAATAATAATAATTCACAGCAGCAATAGATAATTCGAGGAAACCATGAAGTCTAATTTTAATTTTAACAGCTGTAAATTGGAAAAATGATGAAATATTTGTATTGTATTGTGTTCTCTTTTTGAAAACGTATAAATAAAAGTTATTTTTAAACAGGACTCGGGGGGGGGGTTTACTTAGGAGATACATGGTAAGATACGTGGGAAATATACATGATATAGCGTGTGTATGTAGTTTGGATCTGACACAATTGGTATACAGGAGCCAGATTTGCTGCATTTTGGCAGCAGCATTGCGATACAAAATAAAACCCACAAGTAGAATAAAATACTGCAAAAAGTTTTGCATTTCGTGAGGGAAAAAGTTCTGTGAGGAGATGGCACCCCTATGACGAAGTGCTTAGAATTCGCTTTAGGTTCAGGTAGATCAGGGATGAGGAGATTGTCACCCTCTGTATGTTACTGGACTGCAATTCCCACCAGCGCTGACCATTGGCCATGCTGGCTGGTGCTGATGGGAGCTGGAGGTCTGCAAAACACCTGGAAGGGTACAGGTCCCCCCCCCGGTAGATATATTGTGTGCTGGACACCCCCACTTCCCTAGATTCTCTCCCACCTCCCTTTGAAGAGAGCCCTCTCTAGGATTAAGCTCCAAACCAAGTAGATTATCTTCACACAGAGGCTTGATCTAATGTTACAGGCTTTTTATCATTCTTCCCTTTCAGCTTCTGCAGGCTGCGCCCTTTGAAGTCCTCAACCCCCTAAGGCACTTTATCTAGAAGCTTTTGTTTCTTCTCAACAGGTGCCAAAAGTGGGCTGCGACCCTTGTTTGAAAGGTCTGGACCTGCCTAGTTCCTCAGAGGACAAAGTTTTTCTCATGCCATCTCCTTCCTCTGTATATGTGAGGACATTTTGCCTGTAGAAAGGACCACCTTCTCACAGGGAAGGAATCATCTCTTATGTGGAAAGTGACAAATAGCATCCATTCTTGAGGAAATGTGTTATAATTTGTGATTTTTTTTGGGGGGGGTAGAATCTGGGGTTGCTTTTTTTCTGGAAAAAAGGTGGGGGAACTCACCACAAAGTTTGTGTGTGTTGTGTTTTGTTTGTTTGTTGTGGGCCGAGTCACATTGCTACCCCCTCCAAGCAGTGGCTAAATGTAAGATGTAATTAATAAACTCTAGCAGACAATGATCTAGATTAGAAATGGCCACGACTTTATTGATTACAGATACAGTGGTACCTTGGTTCTCGAACTTAATATGTCTTAATCTGACTCCCGAAACCATTCGCAAACCAAGGCACAGCTTCCAATTGGCTGCAGGAGCTTCTTGTACTCAATCAGAAGCTGCGGAAGCCGTGACGGATGTTCAGCTTCCAAAAAACGTTCGCAAACCAGAACACTTCCTTCCGGGTTTACAGCATTCAGGAGCCGATTTGTTCAACAACTAAGCCGTTCAGGAACCAAGGTCCTACAGTATAGGTAAATGTTTGGCTCAGGCATTGGGTATGTATCTGTTCCAGCCCCCCAGGCAAAAATTCAATTATTTAATTTTAGAAAGGTAAGGGAACTCAGTTCCCCCAAGCTCCTGCTAAAAAATAAACAAACCCTGATTGCATGTTTACTTCACTAACGTGAACATGGGGTTGCTTGAAGAGCAGAGCCTTGAGTTGGACTGCAAAGTGACCTGATAAACTAACCCCCCCAACACCCAGGGCCATTAGAATCTGTGTCAGGGACACAGATAAGCCCATGGGGTCTGTGCCAGACCAGATGAATGTGGGTTTTCAGCGTTAGGAATTTTCGTCCCACCAAGCTTAGACGCTGACCTTGCTGGTGGTGGAAATCTGGCATTCTTGTTCAGATGCCAACACTTTGCAAAAAGAAAAAAAAGCCACACAGATATGGGAAAAGGAGCGAAGGCACAACCTAGGACACAACGTTCTTCAGAGGAGGAGGATCTTTTGGCTGCACACCAGAGTGTTAAGAAATTGCAAACCAGATTCTTCTTGCTCCACATAGGCTTCGAGGTGGGAATGCGTTTTACTTTACACAAAATCAGGGCAAGATTTCATGGGATTGTGTGTGTGTGATAGAGAGAGAGATAGAGATAGAGAGACAGAGATTTGAGTTCACCTGGACAATCAAATGTCATTAATTGCCACAGCATGTTGCTTTTTCTAGGTAGATGAGGACCAGTAATGACAGCGTTACCTTGAAAATGAGGTGAGCAGACCTCTCAATTTGGAATCTAATAGGTGGCAGAAAGATGTGATCTGAGGAAGACAATGCCCCTGATGTGATCTGATGTGATCCCTCCTGTGCAAGCCCAATGAAGGGAATGGAAGTGGTACAAGTACACTTTCCCCCATCTTAGTTGGTGAGAAGAGGAGAGGATGCCATTTTTTGCCCCTCCTCCTCCTCCTCCTCCTCCTCCTCCTCCTCCTCCTCCTTCTCCTCCTTCTCCTCCTCCTCCTCCTCCTCCTCCTTCTCTCAGGGCAGTTCACAACTCTTCAAATATTCCTGTGAGCAAGACTTCATCTTTTCCTCTTGATTTCCATGGTGTCTGTTTTTAATCAAGCTATGCTCTTCCAAATATTTTCCTTCTCAATCTTTTAATATTTTCCCAGGCTTTCTCTTCTCTGTTGATGTTAACCTGATTCCTGCTGGTGTTCCTCATGTATTATATCTCTTCATTTCTTAGGAACACCCAATCCATTTTTATTCTAATTTAAAAAAAACAACAACACCCACAACTCTCTAAAGGAGTGGATATGTAGTAATGAGCTTACAGTGCAAAGATAAACTTTATATTTATTGCTCAGCTCTCACATTTGCCTCTGGTCTCCAGAAGGTTCACCAGAAGCGAATGCAGTCCTCGGGATGAAAGATGTTCCCCATCCTTGCACTGGCTCTTAGGGAACACTTGAAGGTAGATAAAATGTTAATGCTCAATAGTAATTCCTTGTATTGCATTCAGCCTGTCTCCTAGAAGCAAGTGAAGACCAAATGCATTTTGCAACAACCTCAGATATGCAGATGACACAACTTTGATGGCAGAAAGTGAGGAGGAATTAAAGAACCTCTTAATGAGGGTGAAAGAGGAGAGCGCAAAATATGGTCTGAAGCTCAACATCAAAAAAATGAAGATCATGGCCTCTGGGCCCATCACCTCCTGGCAAATAGAAGGGGGAGAAATGGAGGCAGTGAGAGATTTTACTTTCTTGGGTTCCATGATCACTGCAGATGGTGACAGCAGTCACGAAATTAAAAGATGCCTGCTTCTTGGGAGAAAAGCGATGACAGACCTAGGCAGCATCTTAAAAAGCAGAGACATCACCTTGCCGACAAAGGTCCATATAGTTAAAGCTATGGTTTTCCCAGTAGTGATGTATGGAAGTGAGAGCTAGACCACAAAGAAGGCTGATCACCAAAGAATTGATGCTTTTGAATTATGGTGCTGGAGGAGACGCTTGAGAGTCCCATGGACTGCAAGAAGATCAAACCTCTCCATTCTGAAGGAATTCAGCCCTGAGTGCGCACTGGAAGGACAGCTCCTGAAGCTGAGGCTCCAATACTTTGACCACCTCATGAGAAGAGAAGACTCCCTGGAAAAGACCCTGATTTGGGAAAGATTGAGGGCACAAAGAGAAGGGGACAACAGAGGACGAGATGATTGGACAGTGTTCTCGAAGCTACAAACATGAGTTTGACTAAACTGCGGGAGGCAGTGGAAGACAGGAGTGCCTGGTGTGCTGTGCTCCATGGGGTCACAAAGAGTCGGACACGACTAAACAACTAAACAACAACAAATGTAATTCATTACAATGATGCACCATGCAATGCTGATGCTGCCTTTACCATTATCTCACCAAGCAACAGTTATAATGGAAAAAACTACTCAAGAGTTTGGTAGAATCATAGAATTTTTAGAGTTGGAAAGGACGCTGTGGATCATCTAGTCTAACCCTCTGCAAGGCAGAAAGCCTGGGAAAATATTAAAAGACCGAGAAGGAAAATATTTGGAAGAGCATAGCTTGATTAAAAACAGACGCGGGGGATGTCGTCTCTTTACACTAGTGATTCTTATGCAAGTAATTTGTGTCCCTTGCAGAAATGATTTAATGGACTCAGCCACATTAGTAAAAAAAAAAGTGTTTTATATGCATTATAACCCCGTGACACCAGATGGCGCTGTGGAGTCCCACCTTTCGCCAAAGCGATTTCCCACTGTGAGGTTGACAAAGCGTTTTCCTGAACTGCTTTTTCTTTATGTGTCTAGATCCAGCCAATGCTATAATTATAAAGTACCTTGTTCTTATCTGCTTTGTTTGTGTTAATAGAAGACCTCAATGAAATTTTAAGAATAATAATGCATATGTTATTATATTGTAAACCGCCCTGTGATCCTCAGACAAAGGGCTGTATAGAAATTGAATTAATAACAATTACAGTAGGCAACTGCCAACACAGGGATCAAACCTGCAGCCTTGGCATTATCAGCACCATGCTCTAACCAGGTGAGCTTTTGAGGCAAATGTGCCATTTTGGAGTCTCTCACGATAGCAAGTCATGCACTGAAAGATGTAGCTGCATTTCCTGTACCTTCACATTATTAGCATGTTAAGCACAAAGTCACCCCGTTGTCGTACGACGCTTAAAAATGCAAAAAGGATTTTAACGGCTTAATGCTGCTTTAATCAGACTCTTAAAAGGTAACAGCTGATACATATCCGGCCATCTCTTATCTGCCTGCCCTTTTATCATTGACCTTTGTTATCTGGGAAGAAGGACTCTCTTATCATGGAGGAAACCCAAAAATATTTTGAAGCTCAGGGTAAAGAGAGACATAACATTTTCCGAGTTGCAGCACAGCAACATCTGGAGGGCCAAATGTTTCCCACACCTGGTTATGCATAGGGAGGTTGCCAATGTTTGCATATGCATCGTGTCTATACAAAGACGACATTGGAACTTTGTGTGAGAGAGACTACCATATTTGATAAATATTCTGGTGGTTGGGGTCTGGCAGGGGTAGCAAGGGAACTGTGGTCCTGTGGAAGAGAGAAGTCTGAAGACAGGTTTATTTAAAGCAGGCATGTCCAAAGTCCAGCCCGGGGGCCTAATCCGGCCCACTGATCTGTTTCATCCGGGCCCTGCGGCAGTTTATTTCCTGTGGTAAAATCCTAAAAGAAGGTCAACAGCTTCAATCCTAAGAAAAGCTCAACAACTTTGGGGGGAAATCTGGAAAAAGCTCAACAACTTGAATCCTGAAAAAAGCTCGCAAAGAAAGCTCAACAACTTCAATCCCCCAAAAAAGGTCAACAACAAGTTTGGTTGGCCCTCATCAAATCTGGCCCTCTTTGAAAATAGTTTGGACACCCCTGATTTAAAGGAACTGTGCACAATTAATTTATTGCATCTGAACAGAACATGCTCATTGTTTTTGTTTTTTAAAAGAAATTAATAAGTGATAGGATTTTGATTAATTGGAATATGGATGAAAGTACAAGCTGCAGAACTGTGCCAGACAAGGGATTCCTGGTCTGCCTTATGCAAACCAGCCTGGCTAGCCTAGTGAATGAAGAGCAAATCTCTTAACATGACCAAAGGTGGGCCATCCGAGAGGAATCCTTCGGCCTGGGGAGACAGGTGTTGCCAAAGTGATGGGGTATGTGTTCGAGGTGACAGAAAAAGGGAGTCTTTGAGCAAGGTGTGCTGGGAAGAAGAAAAAGAAGGGAGAATGGAGACTGGAATCCATCTTGGGCAGGCTGGCTGAAGTCTGTCTGGGAGAGATGACTCTGACTCCAGGGCTGCACTGCTGTGGGGAACAAGCCTCTCTTGAAATGAGCAAGCTGTAGTATCTGGACTCCCCACCCCCTGCAGACTGAAGAAATAAACAATATTTCTTAAAGCTATGACAGTCTCTGCCGTGTCTTAGTTCTCCAAAGGAACATAGACACTTGGGTGAGTGCCTGGAAACCCCCCAGACGCTTGCTACCACTAGGCACAGAGAAGGGGAGACACCCAACTTTTGTAACACTATCAATTTGCCCAACAGAATGATTCTCCCCTCCTCTGCATGCTGTTTTAGGGGTACACTCTGAGACACCCTGAGAGCCAATTTCAGGGGAAGGAGAATAGGGAGCCCCATCGCCCAAGGAGAAGCTTCCACTGATGGGGGTTTCTAAGATGAATACCTCCCAAGATCATCTTAAAAGATAAAGAAATCAAATGTTAGTTAGCCTTCCCAACTTGGAAGGGGAAGGCTGAGGGCTGTTTTAACACTCCATCTCTCTCAACGTTATATTCATAATTAACACCACGATGTTGGTGTGAGCTGGGCTCACAGTCTGGGTGACAAGCCCACTGCGACTGCTGTTTAAACGCGACATCTGTCTCCAGACTGGATTCCTGCCTGAGAATTGACTGGCTGCAGTTCACAATCCTTTACGTCCGATGAGCCCGAGGGTGAAATTCCAGCACTGCTGAACATTGTACTCCGGAGTCCTTTGGCATATGCAGTATTCAACATTTTGCTTTAGTTTGTAAAGGTAACAACGCCAGCAGCTTTAAGCAAGACGCCTCGCCTGCTGACATCTCTTAGCCCCTTTGATCTCACTCAGTGCTTGGCGACAAGGCGAAAACCTTTGCAACAAATAGACGCAACCTGGCAGAAGGAACCACAGCGAAGTCTATAGGAGCTGTTTGCCCCAGCCGCGGTCAGAAAGCTTCATTGTCTAGGAACTGTATTTTTTTTTTTTTAATGAAACCTACATTTGAAAGCTTTGGGAAATGTGCAAGGGGTCTGTGGAAATGGAATGCACAGTGTTGGGTCGGGTTTAGTTTTACTTCAGGGTCACGTCTTTCTCTGATGTTGGGTGAAACAAGGCCTTGGAGCCTGTCATTTTTTTATAGTAGTGCTTGCTGTGCTTTTATTAAGAGCCTTGAGTTTCTAATATAAGGCTTAGTTGTGTTGATTGTGCATTGCTGCCTGTTGAAATATAAACCACCTAGGCTTGAATGTTGGGATGAAACAGCAGCCAAAGAACGATAGGAGCCCTTTCTTCCCACTAGCACAGAGTTACACATGGTCCTCATTAGAAGCTGTGCTGGAATCAGAAAATCTGACTATAATGACCCAGGGAAGAGCTTGAACTCAGTGAGCGTTCGCCCACTCCACAAATAGCGCAGTTGGTTAGAGTGTGGTGCTGATAACGCCGAGGTTGCAGGTTCGATCCCTGTATATTCCTGCCTTTCAAGGGGTTGGCTAGATGTTCCTCAGGGTTCCTTCCAACTCTACTATTCTATGAATTCTTCTAGGCAAAATATGATAGGATGAGTCTTTATACAGTAACTCTTGTGGGAAAACTGTTACTGGAACTGACCCAAAGCCCAAAGAAAAAGGAAAGGTGCTCTATTTTGTATTTTCAGATTTGTAATTGTTTTTAAAAAACATATTTTAATGTTGGAAATATAAAAAAGAAAAAAGAAAGTATCATCAGCTCTCATTGACAATAAAAATAACCAACAAATCCTTACTTAAACATATATGATAATGCAAGTAGTCCGTATGCTGAAAGGGAGGTCCAAATGTTCCTGACTATTACAAATTATACAGTTAGGTGCTTAAGTAACAAAACAAAACCCAGTATCCCGTTCTTGTTGTTTTTAAAAATACATTAAACTTTCCAAATCTGATATAGGAATGTCACAACAATGTTATTAATAGGTAAAAAAAATCCCTATTGTTCAAAGGAAAAAAAAACCACTTGTAAAGATGCAGTGATTATATATCCATTTAGTCCCTTTATCCCATTGGGAAAGGGAATGACTGTTAAACAAATATGACCCAAGTTATCTTTAACTTTAACAGTATTGAGCATTTAGTAATATGTGCATTATTTCTAATTAGTCCAAAGGAACACAAGTAATCAAAGAGAAAACCTCTGTGGACGCCGACAGGCCTAATCATAATACAGACATAGTAGAAATTACAGTTTTTTTCATGTTCTACTTCATGATTATATTTATGTATTTATCTCCTGCGGTGGGAAACAAAGGCCATTTTGCTTAGCGGCTATTTGCTGCTATGTAGCCCAGAAGCACAATGGAAAATTCTTCTTCTTCTTCTTTTAACTTGGGCTTTTTACACACTAAAGCACATTCAAAGAACTTTCTTTCCCTCAAAGAATTCTGAGTGCTGTAGTTTACTCCTCACAGAGTTAGAATTCCCAGCAACCCTTAACTAACTACAGTGCCCAGAATCCTTTGAGAGAAAGAATGTTATTTGAATGTGCCTTAAACATACAGTGTGTACACAGTCTTAGTCCAAGAATTACGGCCCTATGGAGCATTGAGGTGATACCGGTTATTTGGCCACATCTAGTGTAAGTGTGAACACCGTTTTCTGCATTTCCTCCCTAAAGTTGGCTAACTTTATCCCTGGTAATTTTTCAGACACTTGGCATTTGCTGTCGATTGCGTCTTAAAGGCTTTGTACATCTTGGGACAAATGAAATTTTCTAAACTACGAAAGGTCATGCAAAATCATTCAAAATCTGAATGGAGGGTGAAATTCAGCAATAAAGAGATTCAGCTCGTGAGTGATAAATGGTCAGAAAATGCAGCTGATTGATCATAGAAGTGACCCTGAATGTTAGGAGCCCTGAAGGCAAAGAAACAACTACGGGAAAACAATCAGTGTTTTTGTTATTTACCTTTCTTTTAATTGTGCACGTATAACATTGAGTTAGGCATTCCCATCCCTTCTTTTGTTCTATCTCTGTAGAGAGTTTTGTTGCTTATCCTAGACTTTTTTTGCCTCCCGACACAAATGCATTGAGATTGTTTTGCCATCTCTTTAACTGAAGAGGAGGGATGGCAATAGGCAAAACCAATATTATTATTATTATTTTAAATTGTGCATGTTACCAAAAGGACTGCTTTTAAGGCAGGTATAGGGAGCCTGTGGCCATGCAGGTGTTGGGCTCCAGTGTCCAGCTAGTATAGCCAGCAGTCATGGATAAATGGAAACTCTAGTCCAACAACACCTCAAGGGACACATATTTCCCATCCCTGTTTATGAGAGTTCGTTAGCAGGTAGGGAATGATAAAGAACTTCATGGTGATTCTGAAATGCTGAAACAAAATACCTTCAGCTAAGGATGGAGAAGAAATTCAATTCAGTTTGCATGTAAAGCTGAACTTACCTAATTAGTATGTTGCGAAATGATCTGCAAACTGAAATGCAGCCTTCTCTGAATTTTCACACTTCTCTGAATTTTGCAATGCAGTTGTCCGGCCAAGTAATATGTACAAAACTGCATGTACTGGTGTAAAATATGCATATATTAAGAGAAAAAAATGTAGGAAAATGCACTGCATCAGGGGAAGTAGCTTAAAATGTGTATATTAAAATTACATATAAAATGTGTATATTAGTTAAAAATGCATGTAAAAATGCATATAGTAGGAGAAATTGACACTAAAATGCTGATGCATTTGCAAATCAAAATATAGAGATTTTGCCACCAAGGGCTCCTTAGGAGGAAGATGTAGGGTATAAACAGTAAATAATGTATGAAATTAATGCTGGAAAATGAGAAATGGATAAAACTGAAATTGACAGATTCGTTCATTCCTACTTTCAACTTCAGTTCAAAGTAAAAAATTTTATGAGGACAGAACAGTGCAGTCCTATACATCTTCTACTCAGAAGAGTACCCCATTGAATTTGGCTGAGCCTACTAACATGACCAGGTACTGTGTATACTATGGAATATTTTATATGGTGAATTAATTTGATCAGAGACTAATTTTAGTTTGTTATTGAAGAAGGAGGAAAAACATATTTAGGAATGGAATTGTTGGTTTTGAACAATTTTGTGATCTCTGGAAAGCTTCTTGTGATATTTTAATATGAGGCAACAGGACTGGTTTTAGATCCTACTTGGCTCTCCCATAGGAAACTTACAAAACGAAATTGTTTTGTGAACATGCTCCATACAGTCAATCCTCTAATCTCTGCTGGTTCCTTGGTTAAAAGTCAAATTCATCACACTTATCCTGCCTTTTGCTGCCAAGTTCAGAGCTCCTTACAATGGTCTCCCCTCTGGGCACTTATCACACCTGCTTAGCTTCAACAGAACTATAGCTTTCAGGTGCTCCCAGAACATTTCTTGAGCCCAGAAGAATCCCAGGAACCTGGTTGCCATTTTGCCAGAATTTACTACGTGACACAAATTATTAAATTGTTTCCAGGCAACACTTTGTTGGGCTGGTAAAAAACAGGGTAACATCTGGAAGTGAAAGAAGAGCTCCCCCGGACAACTTATTTATTTACAATTCATCCTGATCTACTTGCTCACCACTTGTGTGGAGATTTTATCTTGTCTTTTTTTGAGCATTGATTCTGGTTTGTCACTGATGCAGTTATAAGACAATATGCACTCATCCTGAGTTGTCTGCAAAGTTTTTATACATCTTCCTGTTATTTATTCATTTATTCCACATTTCTTAACGTATTGCCCTGTTACTTTCCTAACTGCAAAAAGTCTGTTTCTCTTATAAAGTGGATTAATCCACTTCTGTTGTGCAATCTTTAATTTCCATTGAATCCATCTCACAAAACACTGACAGTCTAGAGGCACCCAGAGCATTTAAGGGTCAGTGGGAAGGCAGTTGTGCCTGAAGCTCTTGGCAAGGACATCATCTACTTAAAAATGAAAATAGCCATTTCTACCAATCCTGTTGTTTTGATAAGGGAAAAAACTGGCATGCTACCAGCTAGTTGCACAAGGCCATTCCATTCTCTTGAACCAAGAAGAGAGTTTTCTACTTGCAAATATCAGAACAAACTGTGGGGGAAGGGAGGAATTTGGCTGGTCCTGTTTCTAATAATGGAATTCTGAGGCCCAAATCCTGCTGGCAGTTAAGAGTTGTGTAAATCTGGAGCAAGTCCATTGACACTCAGAGAACCGCAAAACTGTACTGAGAAGATGCTCTGGCTTGTCTTATCTGTTTCAAGATGTGGATATTTTGTTCTCTTTGCTTGCTTTTCTTTGCTCGTAACACGCCGACAGAGAAGCAGGGCAGGCCTCCTATGCTGTCTCTATTAATGTGGAGGAATTGTAACAGCTATAATTTGAAAAATGTGTTCAGAGTGAAGAAAATAATAGCCATCCAGAAAGCTTGTTGATGCATGAAAATATAACCTGGCAAAGACTGTTGCTTCTTCTCTGTGGACACCGTAAAAGAACAAAGACAGTTTTAAGCACTAAATAATAAGCCTGGCATGCTCAAATGGAGCTCAGTGGATGAGGTAAAGTTGACCCAAACTGAGGCGAAAAAAAGAATGATAAGAGACATCTCCTGTCACTGAGAGAAAGGTCTGTGAGTATCTAACCTCAGGCAAGGTTTTAAGATAAGCCTCCTCCTGCACAGAGCTAATGACATGAGTTCTCCTCTTCCTTGTTTTCCAGTTATGTTGCTCTCCTGCCCCCACCCTCCAAGGAGAATTTGCTGAAATAAGCAACATCCCAAGCAATCTCTTCAAATGCTTAGAGGGGAAACCTTTTGACAGCCTTGGCTCATGAACACCACCTCAAGCTGATGGTAGAGTTCTTCATCTCACTAATGCTTCGGTAGAAACTACTTAGCTAATGGGGCAGTTGGAGATTTGACTTGCCAGTATTAGAGGTGGGCTTCCCAAGACTGCTCACTTAGCAGACCTTTGCATCTCTTCCTTTCCATCTGGAAAGCCCCCAGTGGGATGAACTCAAGAAAGAAAGAAAGAAAGAAAGAAAGAAAGAAAGAAAGAAAGAAAAGAATTTAATTTTAAACCTTGCCTAAGGCACATTCCCCTCAGAAGGAAAAAGTTAAACAACCCTTTCTCCAAGACATTGGTGAAAAGGTCAGGAAGTGGAACTTTTTTATTTATTTTACCTACAAAGAAAGGTGTCAATTATGTTATTTCCATTTGCCCATTCCTGCTTGCTTTGCTGTCATCCGAATCCCAAAGATGTTCCTGAAAATGGCTTGTAAATTAACCGTCAGCATTTTCTGAAAACAGAAGCAACATATAAACGGGTGGCATCAGTTTAAGGGATCAGCAGCACATTGAGCACATCTGCAGTTGGCCTGCATGAGTGGGATGTGGTTTTCTGCTTGGTCACGGGAATCCTGAGCCATTAAGTGGGGAAAGCTTAATAGGTTGTATAGCCAAGGCTTCCTCCGCTGTGGGAGAGAGAATGAGCCTCTGTCCATTGACCTGCCTGGCCAACTGCCGAACTTAAAAATGGAAAGTGTAATGCCAGTGGTCAACAAAAGAGGTTTAAAGACTCTCTGAAGGCAAATCTAAAAATAATGTAGTATGTTGCTTAGTCGTTTAGTCATGTCCGACTCTTTGTGACCCCATGCACCAGAGCATGCCAGGCACTCCTGTCCTCCACTGTCTCCCGCAGTTTAGTCAGACTCATGCTGGTAGCTTTGAGAACACTGCCCAACCATCTCGTCCTCTGTCGTCCCCTTCTCCTTGTGCCCTCAATCTTTCCCAACATCAGGGTCTTTTCCAGGGAGTCTTCTCTTCTCATGGACTTTGAAGAAGCACAAACTCAGGGCAAAACCAAGAAACAAGCTAAGAGGAAGGCACGTTTGGCAAACCCTCACCATGATCAACTCCCACCCATGTCCCCACTGTGGAAGGACGTGTGGATCCAGAACTGGCCTCCACAGTCACTTACGGACCCACTGTTAAAACTGTGTTTATGGAAGACACTTGGCTATGAGTGATCGTCAAAGAAGAAGACATAGCTCTTCCTCTTGTGGACTCCAACCAGCAGCAGACAACTGCTATGCAGTGGAGGGAAACAGACAATGGTCCCTTCTGCCTGACCAAACTTCTTCCTGGCTCTTGCCTTTCAGCAGCCAGCCATTTCTGCAGTCCACAAAGAGAGTGTATGTGACTCACCCACTGGGTTGTGTCCAATGTTCACTATACTTAGAGTAGATCCATTGAAATGAATCGCCATGACTAACTTAAACTCTTTGGATAGAACTTAGTTGAATACCACCTACTTCTATTTTTTCAGCTAAATAATCTACTGAGGCCCCAACTGTATTTGAGACTCTGATGGATACGTTACAAGCTTATCTAAAAAGCAAAAGTAAAGAACCCAGATTTCAGAAGGACTTCTATAACAATTGGTTGGTTTTGATAGAGAAGGTAAATGGGCCAAAAGTAAATTGAGGGGGAAATATAGAAACACCAATTTGGGTTTTGGTGTTTTCTTTTGCTAAATGAGTACGTTGCCTACAGGAGAATACAGTACAAAGTTTTTGCCAAGGACAAAAATATGGCAAGCCAGCGGGGAAAAAAGCCTGACAAATTATATTAAAAGCCTCTTTTGGCACACAACAACAGGGTTACGGGAAGGTGCTTGTGTGGCTCTGTTGTGTGTGGTTGACCCTAAGGAATGAACACACAATTTATCAGTCATTATTCTCTAAGGTCAAAGTTAAGGTCAACCAAACATTAAATGTTCCAGAAGTTTTGCCTGGTAGCCTCCAGTATCGCTAACAGCTAACAGTATCATCCTCTAGCTAAGGAATACTGACATACCAGGTATAGATTTGATATCTTCAAAATTTTTGAAACTGAATATTCTGATGGAATTATTATATTGATTCAACAGGTACAGTACCTGAGGCTTAGAGCAAATGTCCCTATATAGATCCCATATCTTCAGAAATTTTGGAATGGTGGGCTTCTCTGCTAACTTTTCTATTTGCTTAGCTCGAATCAACAGGTGTAGTACTCAAGGCTTAGAGCAATTCCCCCTATATTTAAAAAAGCTTTTAAAGCTGGTCCAGCAAATTATTGCCTATGTTAGTTTGCTTTGTTAAATCAGCAAACTTTATGCAAAGCACCTTCATAGTAAAGTAACTGGCTGGTTGAAAGAGTAAACCATTGCGACGGATTCATAGAAATAATTCATAGAATTGTGGAGTTGGAAGGGACTCTGCAGATCACTGGGTCCAACCCCTGCAATGCAGGAATATGCAGCTGGCCCATACGGGGATCGATCCTGCAACCTTGGCATTATCAGCACCTCACTCTAGCCAACTGAGTCATAGATGAACACGCTGCATTTAGACAGGACATACCCACTATGGTGGGGTGCAGGTGGCGCTGTGGTGTAAACCACAGAGCCTAGAGCTTGCCGATTGGAAGGTCGGCGGTTTGAATCCCCATGATGGGGTGAGCTCCCATTGCTCGGTCCCTGCTCCTGCCAACCTAGCAGTTCGAAAGCACGTCAAAGTGCAAGTAGATAAATAGGTACCACTCTGGCGGGAAGGTAAACAGCATTTCCGTGTGCTGCTCTGGTTCACCAGAAGCGGCTTAGTCATGCTGGCCACATGAGCCGGAAGCTGTCTGCGGACAAACGCCAGCTCCCTCGGCTTATAGAGCGAGATGAGCACGCAACCCCAGAGTCGTCCGCGACTGGACCTAATGATCAGGGGTACCTTTACCTTTTACCTACTATGGTCATTGTTTGGTTCTTAATTGTTTGATTGACAAATACAGAAGAGAAAAACTGGAGGTGTTTCATATGCAGTATTCATTGATCTGAAGGTAGCATTTGATTTAGTTCTTCCCATGAGCCTCTGGGGAAAATGAGGCTAAAAGGCTGCAATGAAAAGTCTACATAAAATAAAATAAAAATAAAGTTATCGATAAAGGTCAAAAGCCAAAAACAATCTGGTTTAAAACCATTTTGAAATATAAATAAAATCAGCAGTTAAAAATACACATTATAAAGTACATTTTCATATTTCAACTCAACTTTAAGTATCTGAGTCGACTTGCCATCTTTTAGCTGCTAAGCTTAGCCTCCAAACCGTCCACAAAAGCTATTTATGTTTTACTATATGCAGATTGTGCTCCCAGAAAAAAAGTGTTCTGAGAAGATTGCTGAAGGCATTTTAGTAAAATTACAGTAAAACCAAGTAATGCTTTTCTCTAAATAACACTGGTTGCCCTCCTCCAAATGATGCCCATTTAAACAGCTAATTGAACAAGTAAAAGTATTCAAATAGTTGGAAGCACTTTCCAAGGATCTGAAGTGTGGTTAGCTCAATAGGTATAAGTGGTAGAAAAATATATGCAGAACATCAACATTTTGATCCTTCGCTGGCCCCGTGAACTGAAGGTCATAAGTTTATACCTGCCGTTTTTGACATTTTTAAGGCTAAACCCTCAGCTCAATTCTTTTATGCAATTCAAATTGGGGCTAACACCAACGGAAGTATTTTGGAAGCTCTGCACTCTAAATTCCTTAGACATTTTTTTCTCTGCACCAGGATGCGCCATGAATTTTAGTCCCCTCTGACTGCCTTCCCTTAGTTCTGTTTGGCTCGAATGAGAGTAGTTGGATGGAAGTCATTAATTTGAAGTTTTTGTGTTTTTGTGGCTTTTCAACACAACAGCTACTAAGCCCAGGTCTCAGCAAAGCAAAAGATCTATGGAGGTAATACCTATTTGATGCCTACTTTTGTACTGTTTTATTGTTGTTAGCCGCCCTGAGCCCGGCTTCGGCTGGGGAGGGCGGGATATAAATAAAATTTATTATTATTATTATTATTATTATTATTGATATCGAACAACGGAACAATCTTTCCGCTGCTGGCAACTTCTCTATAGGATCTAATCATTTTAAAATATAGAAGGGCTTTCTGAAGTGCAAGACTGAACGTGCTGCTTTCAGCAGTCCTTGTGGGTCATTTTAACGCAACTGCATCCCAAAATGTCCATGGTGAAACATTGGTCAATTTACAGAGATTTGTTTAAATAGCTAATTATTCCAGCACTCCCATTTCAACCACTGTTTTTGTGTGATTTCTTTTAATGTGACCTTCCTCCTTATAGAATAAGAAAATCGGTTGGCAGCCTGGATAGTTCAGTTGGTTAGAGTGCGGTGCTGATAAGGCCAAGGTTGCAGGATCAATTATGGGACAGCTGTATATTCCTGCATTGCAGGGAGTTGGACTCGAAGATCCTACAATTCTAAGATTGAAGCAAAGTCTGTAACATCTTGGTGTCCATTGGATTGGCCTTTCTTGGTGCTCATTGGATTCTAATTTGTATATTTTAAAATTTGTTTTCTTTTAAATTTTAGTTGGCAATTTTATCTGCTCGCTTGTGTTTTTACATGTTTGCATGTCATACATAAAAAGCAATGGCTGGTGGCTGATGCAAATATGTACCTACCAACCTATGTTCTTGTGTTCAACCCATCTCAGTTCCAACATCATCCTTCCAGGAGGTGGGGGCAGAGACAGCAAGAAACAGAAGTTCAAAGGACTGCATTGGGTATGTGGAATGAGTGATGCATTATGTTTATCCTAGCCTGTTGTCTTGTACTGGTTAACTAAACCATGCCTTTCTCAATATTATTTTGGTAGTTTTGGAATGTCAGATCGACTTCCTCTCTTCTGACGCCATTACATTTCCAGCACTGGTTTTTAACATTAATGGGATAAGTAAAATATTTGCACTGTTCCTTTTTGAATTAATTCTTAGCTACATCACAATGCTATTTTAGAACCCCAAAGTGCTCTTATGCACTAACTAACTAGCTGTGTCTCTAAAGAAATGAGCAGGGGAAAAATGATATTCCCATCACTTGATGGAAATGAGATTTTCTTAAGGCTCTGCAAAGATTCAAAACAGAGTAAGACTTAAGAGCATCCTAGAGGGAGTATTCAGGATGCATGCTATTAATATGTTTCTCCTTTGAAAAGAATTGATCTAAGGCTTTGGGAGTACAGGAGAAGTAACTGTGTTTGAAGAAACAGACAAGGTTGAAGTTTGGGAGACATAGCACAGATTTTTATTTTTTTTATCTTTCAAAATGGAAGAGATGACTCAATGTCATGTGAGACAGTTGAGAAGGTCTCTACTGGTTCATTAATACTATGTGCATACAAATGAGAGAAGATCTTTGCTACCCACCTAGGAAAAGGAAGAAGGGGCAATTGTATCTGCTGTTTGAAGACATTGTCTATATTGACAGTTTTCTTTGATGAATGGGCAAACCTCCATTGGATCCAACCAAACCATGTTCAGAAACCTCCAGTCAGGTCTCTGACTAGTTTTATAGGAGTTCAAATGCTGCTATAATAAAGAAGTTAATGCACTATAGTTGTTATGGGAAAAGTCAATATATGAATGTCAATTTGTTAAGAATCAGATTCTGTTGTTAGTGATGATATCCCTCCATATTCACTAGTGGTTATTTTTTTCTCCCTTCTATGCCTGGAATATATTTATTATATATTTGTTAATATTTTTGAATGCCGTTTATTATATTTGTGTGATACAATATAACGATTGTTGGCTTTGTATGGTATTCTGGAATACATGGGGAACGTTTTGTTTGGTGTGGAACCTTTTTGTACGTTAATATTTTGTAAATAAAAATAACAAGAAGCTTCTGGTCATGCTAGCAGTCATGGAATAGCAGTAATTTTTTATTTTTTTTGCATGCTTCTGTGTTGTGCTGTTATTAAATGACTTGAAAACAAGGCTCTCAATAGCTCTTGCCAGATATGGTCAGCATGATAGGGCAGCCATAATATTGGATTTGTCTAGAAGAAACCCCAGTTTAGATATTTAGTTGGCCATCGAGATCACCAACTAGCTTTGGACACCACCACTCACTGCCTTTCTCCTAGATCAAAAGGCTATTGTGAAGCTAAATGGGGAGATTGTTTAAATTATATTGCCCTGAAATCCTTAGAGGAAGGGGGTATTTAAATGTGTACAAGGGATTCCAATCTGGGTTCCAAACTGGGGCTTCTACCACTAAGACATTGGCCATCTTGCCTCCCCTTACAATCTGATAAAGCCAAGTTAAGTTAAGTTAAGTTAAGGGAAAGGCTTTTTCCTGTAGACTGTTAGTTGGTCTTTTGAGGAGCCAAGCTTTCCCTTTGTGCAAAGAGGATATCATAAGATTTTGCTGTTGCAATTTCACAGCAGTTTCCATGAAAATAGTGACATCCTCCCCCAACCTCCATTAGTCTGTGTCATGTATTCCTAACTGATATTTGAATTTGGGGGAAATCCTCCTTATGTCTTTCTGAGTTAGGTATGAAAATTCTGAATGCTTATGCTAATGTGATGAAACATGTAAGAAATTATAAGCACTCCCTCCATTCACATCACCAATGAAGTAAAAGAGAATATTTTATACATCACGTCGGGCATGTTAATATAGTATCCCCTCTCTTCAGCCATCCTTATTTCCTACTGCTGATATCATGCTTTGCAAGTTATGGCCAACTTTTCGAAATCTGAAATGTAATAAGGTTCTGCTGATACTTCTGCAGCTTTCCCCTCTACAACTACACTGCAAAGTGAGATCTCAGGCCAACCAGAGTATTTAGCATTACCCTAGTAACAATCAACTGTATAGCGTAGGGATAAAACAACAACATAATTTATGTTCGTTCATCCTCTTGCTCTGTATACACGGGGAGAGCATTTGAGTCTGCAGAAACCTGGCACTCTATAATCATTTGAAAGGTTAAAAAACAACCAGATAGTTTTTAGATTGTTTATAAATAACAGTAATTGGTCATTCCGCCATTCTGTTTTTGACTTCTCTTTGGTGAGCAGAGATGGTCTATTTTAGGAAGAGGAATGACTGATGGACTATAATTCAGGGGCACAAGAAGCATGGTAAATGGTTTTGGATATATGTATATAATCTTTTGATAGTACTAAAATAAAAAAAATGGTTTACAAAATTTCTAAAAACATTTGCCCCTCAATGACGCCAAACTTAGATTCACAAAATGTTTAGGAGTATGCATCCCCCGTGTCCCCCCAGAAAGAAAAGCAGTGTGTGTGTGTGTGTGTGTGTGTGTGTGTGTGTATAAAATGCAAAAGCATGCAAAAGTTAAGAGGATCTGTTTTGTTCATCTTTCTATCTCAAAATTTCTGGTTCCCTCATTCATTTACTCCTGTGGTGCTTAAGACATGTTTAAGATTGTACTGGGATGCGGGTGGTGCTGTGGTCTAAACCACTGAGCCTCTGGGGCTTGCCAATCGGAAGGTTGGTGGTTCAAATCCCCACGACGGGGTGAGCTCCCGTTGCTCGGTCCCTGCTCCTGCCAACCTAGCAGTTCGAAAGCACGTCAAAGTGCAAGTAGATAAATAGGTACCGCTCCGGCGGGAAGGTAAACGGCCTTTCTGTGCGCTGCTCTGGTTTCTCTGGTTAGTCATGCTGGCCACATGACCTGGAAAAACTGTCTGCAGACAAACATCAGCTCCCATGGCCAGTAAAGCGATATAAGCGCCGCAACCCCAGAGTTCTTCGCGACTGGACTTAACTGCCAGGGTTCCTTTACCTTTTTTGTTTGTTTTAAGACTGTACTATTAATTCTCCTTCCACAGTATTTCTGCAATTTTGCTGAGCCGTATACCTGCCATGTTTTTCCACATTTTTTGTTTCAAACTACTTTCAGATTCTGGCTTGAGTACTATAGTCTGTAGATGTCTCTACTAGCACATGTGTACATTTGCTAATAATTCCATCATGTTCTTGGTGTTAAATGAAAAGTCATGTCTTTTAACATAGGATTCTTTTCTCCATTAATGCGAGTGAATGAATAGAAGAACACCAGACTCGGAAATCCTTCCTCATCATTACAAGAACAGTATGTGGTGATGAGTTTAGTAGAACATATAGTTAATTTTGCAGAAGAGTTTCAGGGTATGAAGCAAGGCTACTTTAATTAGTAGCTATATTACATGTTATAATAAAGGAGAGCAAGGAGTGGGAAAGGGGTTTGAGGGGTGATAATAACCGAGACCGGAGAGATGAGAGATCACAGGGAAGCAGATTCTTGAGCCAATGTTGCTTTTGATGTTGTAATTTTGTCCTTGTTCTGTATTTTCCATTTCAGCTGTCCAATTTATTGAGAGATAAGTCTCTCTGAATCCAGATGGAAATGCAAATGCTGGAGTTTATTTCGTAGTTTGTACATAATTGACGAAGTTGACACCTCTTTTTCATCAAGTCTTTTCATATTGAGGAGGAGCATGCAACATTACCTAATAATAATAATAATAATAATATCTTGCCCATCTGGTAGGCAGTTTACAGCATATATAAAAGCATTATAAAACATCAAACATTAAAAAACAAAATATCTTATAAAGGCTATAAATAAACCAATAAATCAATAGAAACATAATCATCATCATCAGTTTACAGTTATGCCCAAAGTAAAATAACCACCAATCCCAACTAAATATTTAACCAACCCCAACTCAACAAAAACAAAAGAGAGGAACCCGTTATATCTTTTACGTGTGCTGGAAACTTTTTTTCTTCCAAGGCTTCTCAAACCAGTTTATTTTATCTCTGCTGTTTTTTAATTCTTGCTGGTTTTTATGTTTTTATTCTACTTTATGACCTGTTTTATATTTTATTTCTGTTCACAGCACGGGTATTTTCTGAACGTAGAGCAGTTTATAAATTCTGAAATAATTTTTATTATTATGTTTATTAGTATAATTGTATATTGAATGTGAAGAGTATTTTTTTTAACTGTTTGCTTTAGTTTTTACAGTCATTTACACCAGAAAGCTGTCAAAAGTACACAGCTAGGACAAAAGCTGAAAAATGGGGGGGGAAAGCAGTCCAAAAACCACCTTTACATCTAACTTCTGTTACAGTTGAAGGTTACAGTGCAACAATTTTTACTGGTGATTGTCAATGTTATTTATGCTGAGTAGACCTATTGAAATCAGTAAGGCTACTCTGAGTATGACTTGGACATCAGCCTGGTTGGGTTTAGCAGTTGTTGTTGTTTAGTCGTTTAGTCGTGTCCGACTCTTCGTGACCCCATGGACCAGAGCACGCCAGGCACTTCTGTCTTCCACTGCCTCCCGCAGTTTGGTCAAACTCATGCTGGTAGCTTCGAGAACACTGTCCAACCATCTCGTCCTCTGTCACCCCCTTCTCCTTGTGC